ATTTTTTCAGCTATTTGATAAGTATATAGATTAAAAATCTCATTTTCTGAATCACTTGAGGAATCTTCTAATATATCAAGCTTAAGTATTTGTGATTTGGTAGATTGAGTATTACTAATATTAAAAAAATTTTGTAATATTTGTAATACCAGTTGCTGCTTTAGTTAATGAGCCATTTGGACTATACTTATCATAATATGTTGATTTTGGCGTCTTGCCTATCTTGTATGATCGTTGCTTTGTTTTTTCTAATTGATTATCATTTTTCTATACTAAACCGAATTTTTTAATCTTTGATTAAGCTTAATTTCAGCTTCCATTTCCTCTGGATCATCCCATTCACCATTATCATCACCTCACTCTTCTTCATTAAGAAATTCGTAACCAATATACTCACTATTACCATCACCATTACTAGCCGATATATCATTAATATTATCACCAGAACCTGAAGAATTGTCACTGTCATCACCAAAATCAGGATCATCACAGGGGTTATTACCAAAAGAATTGGATAAACTATTATCATCGGTAAATGTGATAACTGTATCACGCTAACTATATCCAGATGTAGATGAGTTCTGGTCATCTTTACGCGCTTTTTTGATATACTTACCATTTGCTGTTCGTGGTTGATCTTTTGTTTTTCTTTTTTGTTTGGAAAAAGGTGGCATTTTTTAAATAAAACAAAATAAAATTCAAAAATGCGTTTAAAACAATATTTATGTGATATGTATGTATGTGAATATAATCGTTTAATTTTCAATTTAAATTTTTTTTTTAACGCGATCGATTTATCACGTGATAAAAATCCCACATTTTTATTGGTTAAATTTTTAATATCCCCCTGTAAATACCCCTGTAAAATCAGTCTGAATTTTGCTAATTATTAATAATGTACCCTATTTTTAAACCCTGATAACTTTTTAAATAATTAAGCTATTCAAAATATAAGCTGATATTTTGAAAGAGCATTACCTAAACTATATAAAAATTGGTTTAGTTTTTTAATAACTTATAAATTGAAAGACTAGATACATTTAGAATTCATGCTAAATTTTTGATGAGTTTAGATGTTATGCATCATACTACTTTACAGAAAATTGGGTTTTATAGTGCAGTAAAATCATTCAAAATAAATTCATCTTTAAATGGCTTTTTATTTTTATCTCTTCATTAAAATTCTACTTTCTCTGATACTTTCTACTTGTAATAATACATTACTTTTTTTTTTTAACTTTCAAAATTATTGATTTAATTGTAAGTAATTTGTTATTAAAAATAATTTTTATCACTTCAATATTAATTTCTCTATCCTTTTATTATATCTACTTAATTTTCATTCATTAACTATTCTATTATTTCAGAATTTTTATTACAACAAATATCTGCATTACTTAATTTTAATATTACTAGAATATGTTGATTTAACATATGTATTATTGTTTTTTATTAAAATATCTTGAATCATTTCTTCAAAATAACATTTATTTTGTCTTTTCATTATTTCTATAAGGTTGGTATAAGATAGTTTTTTCACAATTCTTTTTTTAAATTTATAATTTGTATTTTCTTTTAAGATATTTTATCAAATAATACTATATCATAAAATATATCACATGATTTCACTTTTAGTCACTATTTTTTAATACTGTAAATATTCTAGATTTAATCATTAAAATAAAATATATTTTGCAATTTAAAATTCGCTTTGATTATATTTCAAAAGTAATTCTTATAATTTTCTTTTTAAACCATTAAGTTTAATAAATAACGCAAAACCAGATTATGTAATTCATATTAAATAAATAATTTGTTAATTACTGCTCAAATTATTTTGTGTTATCCAGTAACTAAATTAAAATATTATCATTAAACAATACAGTGGCTTCCAAAAGAAACGCAAGTGGCATTGCTTGCCTTTAATTGCCTGTAACTCACTATGCACGAATGCTAGAAACATGATTTTGTATTTAATTTGAACCTCAAAACCTAAACGATCTTCAGTAAAAATTTGAAG